AGCTAATGGAACAGCGTTATGGGTTGCATAATTCAAATAATGTGTCTGGCTTCATCTTGTCCTAGGCAAGATTCCTACTAGGATGAACACTTTTAAAACAGATGCGGTCCTGAAGGTTGTAGTAACCCTTAAAGTATTGCACTGGACAGAGATTTATTTGTTGTGCTATTTGTTGTGCTGTGAACTGTCAGCCTTGTGTCTTGCCCATTTTAATTATGCCTATGCCGCAATAAAAATACAATTTAAATATTGATGTAGTATTTCTAAACCTCACTTAGATGTACTTAAACTTGCAGTGTAGGTAGTGTAACCATGTCTTGAACTTTACTTTAAATCTGCTCTTCACAATATGTAAGTGAAATCTGCACATCACGACACTTTGATGGGTGAACAGATCAGATTCTGGGCACATCTGCATGGAGTGAATTTGAAAGCATTCAACATACAAGAACTTAATTTATGTTAAAGGGGCGCTTTTAATCAAAATAACCAGTACAGCTCAGTGTACTGGCCATGTTGACAATATGTTTGGGATCTTACAAGAACCAGACTCCACGTTCAACTAACTTCGTAATACAGGATAAACTTGTGGATTGGTTTAACATGCTCTATACACCCTTCTCCACAACTGTCGATTTCAAAAGGAAATTTATATAATCCATGTAAATAATTGAACATATGGGAAAGCTTTTGTATTTTTGGTACATTTACAGGGTTATAAATTTAAGTGAATTCAAAATGTAACATTTTAAAAGAAAGAAGTGAAGGGTGGGGTGGGAGAGAGAGAGGAATTATCCCCAATTCTGCTGTTTTACATCTAGCTATTTTGGCCTATAATGTGACATTTTTGACCATTCACTCGTCGGTGAATATCCCTGACTGTTCGTTTGGATACTTTGTATTTCAGATACATCTGTTCCATGCAAATATGCCATTCAGTTTGTTGTGAAATAAACTTATCATTGGAAATACTCTACAATCCACTAAAAGTTGCCATGATTTCTGTAAAGTAACAACTTGCACTTTACCCTCACTCAGTCTTCTAAACTGTAGGTTGCAACCTCTTCTTTTTTTTATCCCTTTTTGTTATTAAAGTCTTCCTTTCTATCTTATTTAACCCCTTAACGACCGAGGACGGTTCAGGACCGTCATCGGCATTTTTGCGTTGCCTACCGATGACGGTCGTGAACCGTCCTAACGGTCTGAGTTACTTACCGGATCGCCGACGTTCCCCCGGCGGCGATCAGCGGTGCTCCCGGTGTGGGGAGACTGCCTGCAGCCCAGACAGTCTCCCCAGACTGAATTAGGACCCCTGTGGCCATGTGATCGCTTAACACAGCGATCACATGGTCACAATAGGTGTCCATGTGTCTGCCTGCAGGGGGACTGCCTGTGCTGACAGGCAGTCTCCCTGCTAGTGTAAAATCAGTAAAAAAATAAATAAAGTTAATGTTAATAAAAAAATAAAATAATTATATGTGTATATATGATATATAGACATATATTATATTTATATAATATATGTCTATATATCATATATATAATGCCATACTAAGTGTATTTTTATATTAATATGTACTTTTATTAATATAAAAATACACTTATAATTAAATTACACACGCATATATATAATATATATAATAACTATATATATATTGTGTATATATATTATAAAATATAAATAATAAGTAATTTAAATTAAATAAAAAAATTTTAAATAATAAAAATTTAAAAAAAATTATATCTATATGAAATTTTATTCTAACTGTATTTTAAAATTAATATATATTTATATCAAAATACACTTAGAATGAATTTGTATATATATCTATGTATATAAAAATAATACGAAATATACATATGTCCATATACAAAATTACATAAATAATTATATAAATATACACGTAGACTTCAAATATATAAATATGCATATATATTTAAATTCTACGTGCGTATTTATGTAATATTTTTACATAATTCAGTAATTTTATTGATTGCAATTTGAGGGACCTGCCTGCCAACCCAGGCCGAAATTCCAGAGAATTTAATTTGCTAGCACTGTATTTTACCCTGTAACGTTCTACGACACCCTAAAACCTGTACATGGGGGGTACTGTTTTACTCGGGAGACTTCGCTGAACACAAATATTAGTGATTCAAAACACTAAAACATATCACAGCGATGATATTGTCAGTGAAAGTGACTTTTTTTGCATCTTTCACACACAAACAGCACTTTTACTGATATAATTGTTGTGATACGTTTTCCAGTTTTTAAACACTAATATTTGTGTTCAGCGATGTCTCCCGAGTAAAACAGTACCCCCCATGTACAGGTTTTATAGCATTTTTGAAAGTTACAAGGTCAAATATATGGGTCAAATACTTTTACATTGAAGATGGCCAGGTTGGTTACGTTGCCTTTGAGAGCGTATGGTAGCCCAGGAATAAGAATTACCCCCATGATGGCCTACCATTTGCAAAAGAAGACAACCCAAGGTATTGCAAATGGGGTATGTCCAGTCTTTTTTAGTAACCACTTGGTCACAAACACTGGCCAAAATTAGCGTTCAATTTAGTTTTTTTACTTTTTCACACACAAACAAATATGAATGCTTACTTTGGCCAGTGTTTTCGACTAAGTGGCTACTAAAAAAGACTGGACATACCCCATATTGAATACCCTGGGTTGTCTACTTTAAAAATATATGTACATGTGGGGTGTTATTCAGAGATTTATGACAGATAATAGTGTTACAATGTCACTATTGATAAATTTTAAAAATGTATGTTTTGAAACCGCAATATCCTACTTGTACTTATAGCCCTATAACATGCAAAAAAGCATGTAAACACTGGGTATTTTTAAACTCAGGACAAAATTTTGAATCTATTTAGCAGTTTTTTTCATTAGCTTTTGTAGATGAGTAAAAGATTTTTCAAGTAAAAGTCAAAAAACATGTATTTTTTTAAATTTTTCATCATATTTTTTTATTTTTTTTAAATTAAAATACATGAGATTATATAAATAATGGTATGTAAAGAAAGCCACTTTTGTCCTGAAAAAACAATATATAATTTGTATGGGAACAGTAAATGAGAGAGCGGAAAATTCCAGCCAAACACAAACACCACAAAAGTGTAAAAATATGCCTGGTCGCAAATGTACAACATCGCAAAAACAGTCCAGTCCTTAAGGGGTTAATCCCTAAGTAAATTTGTATGTTTTTATCACGTCTTAAAATTGCTTATCAATAATTCCCCTTTCAGAAAACTGTCTCAAGGATGTGTTAATGTTTTATTTGACTCTCAGGCACACTAATATGTACACATTACCTTGTCGAACGCCAAATTCATTTGTTTTTCTATCATACTGAATAAAAAAAAAAAACATGTTATTTAAGGAACACTATAGGGTCAGTTACAAAAACTGGTATTTCTGGCCATATAGTGTTAGCTTTGAGCAAGGCCCATTTGTTAAGTTTCACTATATCTATGCACTTAAAGGGACACTATAGTCACCAGAACAACTACAGCTTATTGAATTTGTTCTGGTGAGTAGAATCATTCCCTTCAGGCTTTTTGCTGTAAACACAGTCTTTTCAGAGAAAATGCAGTCTTTACATTACAGCCTAGTGATAACTTCACTGGCCACTCCTCAGATGACTGTTAGAGATCCTTCCTGGGTCATGGCTGCCTAAAATGCATCCAAACATTCAGTGTCTCCTCCCTCTGCATGCAGACACTGAACTTTCCTCATAGAGATTCATTGATTCAATTAATCTCTATGAGGAGATGCTGATTGGCCAGGGCTGTGTTTGAATCATGCTGGCTCTGCCTCTTTGTCAGTCTCAGCCAATCCTATGGGGAAGCATTGTGATTGGATCAGGCTACCACTTCTGATGATGTCAGCAGGCAGTGGGCAGGTCTAAAGGAAACAGAGCCAGAGCTAGCAGCTCCAAACTGGAAAACAAGTAAGATTTTGGCTATTTTTTGGGAGGCAAGAGGGGGCAGGGGGGCTAGATGGCGTTTTTAACATGTTTGTGTTCCTAACCCTATAGTGATCCTTTAACATTAATATGTATACAGACTTAGAATTAAAGATATTTACTACGCACTTATAAATTACACATTACTATGCAGTTATGATCAAAGAAAGAAACATAGGAAATAAGGCCAACAGCAGAAGAATACAGGATATAACACGAACACTTGTTACACAATGTTCTATAGCAGTGATGGCGAACCTTTTTGAGCCCGAGTGCCCAAACCGCAATACATGCCAACTTTTTTTTCCCTCAAAGTGCCAACACTGCAATTAAACCTGAATACTGAGGTTTAAGTTTAGAAAAAACAACTCTAACAGTTGTCCAAACTAATTAACATCTTTTGTTTTAAAAGAACATAACAGAGAGTTCAATGATACAAACAGTTTTTTTTATTGAAAAAAAACATCAATTCTAGTAAATTAAAACACACTGGTGTTCAGTGGTGCTTTACCTTATTAAGGACCTATTCCCACCTATCCAGCTGTAGTTTGCATGCATCTTACATGCTGCTTTGGCACAGTTTATATCAGAATTACATCTGTCTTACATCCACTTTTGGTGCAGCTTTCTATGTATGTCATTGGACATGCATTTTTCATCAGGTTTCTGTCCATCCAGCTGCACCAAAACTGCATGTAAACTGTGCCAAAGATGCGTACAAGGGGATACTCAACTTGTAATATTATTACATGCCAGACTGAAATTGTATGACAAACGCCTTACTCTGGGACTTTTCTCTGCTTCTACAGTTACAGTAAATGTCAACCTGAATGAGGATGAATGAGATAAACAAGGAAACTAAACTTGCTTAAGACACTTTAAACAACTCCTAAATTAGTGTCTTGGACACAAACACTGCATTAGTAAAAGTTTGCAGTTAGCATTCTTTTGCACAATTAATGTGATTTTTGCTGCTGTATACATGCTGCACATTTGTCAAATCTTGGCTCATACTCCGTTAATTTGAGAGCAACACATGCAGCACTTAATTCATCTGTTAGTCTGTTTCTGGTATCAGATTTGATATAATTCAATGCTGAAAACAGCTGCTCACATGCATAAGACGACCTAAACAACGAAAGAAGAGCAAGCCCAAGTGCTTTCATTGACTTAAAATTATTCCGCAGAGAATTCCACACTTTAAGGATTTCATTTTCAGAACTACCAACTGTGCTGTCCATTGTCATCCCTTCACATTCTATCTTCTCAAGTGTGGCATGCAGGGCATAGAATTTATTTTTCCAGATAGAGCTTTCTTGAAATTCTAATAGCTCTATTTCCAGATTTTTTAAATCTAACCAGTGTAAGCAGGAAACATCAAGCTCTTCATATTTGGCTTTATCTGGAGAAGTGAGAAAATACAGGGTTATCTCCATTTTCCGGAAATGCAAGAATCTGTTGCTAAAATTCTCCTTAGCAGCTGCTACAATGCTAGAAAGTTCATTGTGGATTTCCTGGTGGCTTGGAGGATTGTCCGTAAATTTTGTAGAATTTTACAAATGTATTTTTAGATTTGGAAAGTATTTCAGCTGCCCACTTTCAATGTCTCTTTCAAAAACCTGCAACTTTCTCTCAAATGTTCTGATATCACAAAACATCCTTTCTGCTATTTTCCCGACACCTTGCAGTGTTTTGTTCAGTACATTGAAGTGTGCTGTAAAATCTGTAAAAAAAACATGATGTTGGTAAGCCAGGCCGTATCAGTGAGCTGGGGATATTCTTGCCCCTTTTCATTCATAAACAGCCTAATTTCATCCAAACATGCCACAAATCTCTCCAGGACTCGTCCTCTGCTCACCCATCGGACATTATTGTACATAAGTAAAGTGTTATACTGTGCATGTACCTCATCAAGAAGTGCTTGAAACTGTTGAAAATTAAGAGCACGAGCCATGATGTAATTCACCATTTTAGTGACATCTTTGAGGATATCTTCAATTTTTTTGCTGCTGTCCCTGGCACAAAGAGCTACCTGGTGTATAATACAATGAAACTGTATGATTGGATGTTTTGCTTCTTTAACAAAGAACTGTATGAAACCAGATGTTGCCCCAACCATGCAAGGTGCTCTGTCACTAGTAATGGATACCACTTTTTCTGGTCTTATTTCTTGTGCCAAAAAAGGCTCCATCACAGCATTGTGGATATCTATTCCTTGTGTTGTTCTAGGCAAGGACAACAGTTTCAACAGCTCTTCTCTCATGATATCACCAACAGCATAATGCAAAATTACTGCCAGCCTTGCATGATTATTTATATCTGTGCTTCCATCCAAACACATGGGAGTGCACATGGAGTGCTGATTGTAAATCAGTGGAGAGCTGCTGACTAACTTCGCTTCCCATGCCCAGGACTCGATCTTTAACAGTATTTCTGCTAACTGGCTTCTCAGAGATGCGTTGCATAATTTTATCCTTGTTTGAGAAATCATGAAAAAGGGAACTACCCAAAGCCAACATGGCCATTTTGATAAAATCCACATCAGAAAGAGGCTTACCATGTTTTACTATGCACAGTGAAATTTGAAAGCTGGCAACTGTCAGATGATTTGATTTAGAAAGAAAGTTGGAAAAACTATGATACTGGGAGTGATATTTCCTTAATGTCTCCTTAAGAAACTCTTTTCTTTCAGATTCTCCAAGTTTGGCAACACTTTTGTGGTTGGTGTCAAAGTGCCATCTAACACTTGATGTACGGGACACAACACTTTCACTACACAGAATACCTAACGCTTTTCCATTGTGTTCAATCACTCCAAATGATTCTGTCCAAGCTTCTTGGAATGATCTTCCACTATCTGTTTTAAACTTTAAAAATAGAAAATTTATAAAAACAAAAAACTGTAAGGGTACATATTGCTCACCAACACAAAGAAACCGTACATATCACTTATTACCACACTACGAATTTAAAGGGTGGAAAGGACACTTGTCATTTATTACCACACTGCAAGGTTTGACAGTCGTAGAGTGCTGGTGAGTGACATGTACCCTCACAGTGTAGTAATAAGTGATATGTCTCTTTGTGTTTGACGGAGTTAGATGCACAGAGAGGGCACCGAAAGCTTCATTTTGGCGGCTGGTACATGTTAGGATTTGTTTTTTCTGGTCTGTTGTGGGGCTTGTCGCAAAGGCTGCAAAAATTGGCATGTGACAGTAACTCTTTAATGACATAGGTAACTTGTATCAAGGCCTTTTTAATCATTCTTTTTTTAAATAAAAATGTTTAATCTGGTTTGGATACATACCAGATTCAACCTCTGCAAAAAAAAAAAGTGTCAAGTCTTTTAATGCATGGGAGCAATTTAGATTAAGTGCTGCAAAAAATAAATCAAATAATCAAAACAATCAGCCAACTGATTATGAAAATAATCAAAACAGCCAATTGATTATGAAAATAATCATTAGTTGCAGCACTGTATCCCTGTACCACTTTCACTGGTACTCTCCACTAACGTAGGCAGTCCAAAATCTACAGAAAATAGTAAAATAAATTTGTTGCACAGTGGTCAGCCCCATCATAATAAAAACAGTGACACAGCTGTCAGCCCCCATCTAAATAACATTGCTGGCACAGCGGTTAGCCCCATCAGAATCACTGAATAAAAATGATAAATGGTTTTAAGGGGGGCTGAGCTACTAAGCGTAGCTCAAAACAGGTATGGAAGTTACAATACGAAAAAACATCCTAAGCAGAAATCACATAAAAGAACACCATAAATGCTAAAAGCAATTAAGAGTGAAATACCTGGAGCTAGAATTCGAATAAAATAACAAGGGGGATGACTGAAGCAAGTAAAATAATCTAGGAGAGAGAATCATAGTACAACAGCTAAATATATTAGACGTCATTCCTTGTCTCCCGGCGGCATCAGCGGGGGGAGCAGTGCTGGAACATTGCTCCCTCGCAGCCCTCTATCCCACCCACCAGTGCTATCTTAACAACATTATGGGCCCCTGGGCAAAACAGTGCACTAGGGCCCTGCCTACACACAACTCAGAGGAATAAAAATTTAAATTATAGATAAAATTAAGCTTAGATTTATTAGCATCTCCAACAATTGCAATACATACAATACACACACACAGACTGCTAAATACACGCACACAGTCCGCTAAATACACGCACACAGACTGTGTGTGTATTCAGCAGACTGTATGTCTATTCCGCAGTGTGTGTACTCAGCAGACTGTGTGTATGTATTCAGCAATCTGTCTGTGTGTATTCAGCAGACTTTTTTTTTTCCAACAGTCTGCTAAATACACACACACAGTCTGCTGAGTACTCACACAGTATGCTGAATGATCACAGACTGCATGTATTCAGCGGACTGTGTGTGTGTGTGTGTGTGTGTGAGAGAACTCAGCTGTCTGTGCGTACTCAGCAGTCTGCTAAATACACACACAGACAGACTGCTGAATACACACAATGCTGGATACAGACAGACTGCTGAGTACACACACAGGGTCTGCTGCATATACACACACGCATGGTCTGCTGAGTACACACACACAGGGTCTGCTGAGTACACACACACACACACACGGTCTGCTGAGTACACACACACACACACACACGGTCTGCTGAGTACACACATACAGACATATAAATACAGACACACACACTGCATTGAGGGGTGCAGTGTATGTGTTTGTGAGTGGGTAGGGGGTGCTGTATGAGAGTGGGGGGGTGCTGTATGAGAGGGGGGTGATGTGTGTAAAGGGGGGGTGCTGCAGGAAGAATTTTTTTATTTTTTATTAATCATAAATAATAATTTTTATTTTTATTTATCCCCCCCTCCCTTCTTACCTTTGGTGAAGGAGGGGAAGACACAGTCGGATGTGGTTAGTAGCTCTATCTATGCTCTATCTATGCCTCGGCTCGCCTCAGCTTTCCTCAGTCCCATCGTTCTTCTGGCCAGATCCCTCCCCTTGCCGGCTGCCTCCAAGTCCTCGGAAGCAGAGTGCATTAATGCCGGCGACCTATGGCCGCGTGCCCACAGAAGAGGCCCAGCGTGCCACAGGTTCGCCATCACTGTTCTATAGCTTTTGTCTAGGGCTATATTCACTAAGCATTGTATATAAACAAAGTATATTATTTTAAATAGCTGACATGCTCCAAGTGCAGAGGATGGAGACATTGATCGCGGCACATAAGGAGCAAAAACTAGGGGGGCAGTTATAAAACGTACGTGTGTGTGTATATATATATATATATATATATATATATATATATATACACACACACACACAAATGGTTCAACAAATTCCGGTCGCCATGGCGACTAGACATTTCGCTGTGGCGCCTGGCATTTGTCAGCCCTTTGCTAAGCCACACAGGAAACATTAAATTCGCCCGCCATGAGAGGGAGCAGTAACCTTCCTGCAGTTCCTCTCCTCCATTGTGTGCTGTTTAGTGATATTACGTCACTCTGGCCCCAACATCACTACAGAGAGCGTGCAGAGAGAAACTGCAGGAAGACTGAGAGGAGACATGACGCCAGGGAAAGATCCACTCAGCTCTCCCAAAGGCTGGGTGGATTTAAATAAAATAAAAATAGCAATTTGTGAGAGTGTGTGCGCGCTAAATCGACCTGTAAAGTGTATGCGTGTGCAGCTAGGGGCTGCATTGTCTGCTTATCAAGGAGCTGTAGTTAATGTGAATAAATGAGATATGTGGTGGCGTATGTATGTGTGGGGGTGAAGAGATGTGTATGTATGCAATCGTGTACTCTGTGTTGGTGGGAGTGTACTGTACGTGGGGGGTTCACTGTTTGTGAGGGTGTACTGTGCTCAGGCGGTGTAGAGTGGGATAGGGAAGAGCTTTACAATTTTTACTTTAATAATTGTTTTAAAAAACATATATATATATTCCCCTGTCACTTATCTTACCGTGCAGAGAGGGGGTGGCACAATCAGATCTGTGGTGGTTTATAAGGTTACCTATCCATCTAGTACAGGGGAGGTCATGAGATGAGAGGTATCTCTCTTGGAGCTCAAGCACTTAACAGAGAAACCCATTGAAATCCAGACTGACCCCATCACACAGGATGACTCCCTCCCCCACACACCCATACACACAGTCTGACCCATACACACAAACTGGCCCCCTCTCTCCTCCCCCCCACCCCCAGTGACGCCACTAATCTGAGGAGTGGCCAGGGGTGGTATTCCTAGACTGTAATGTAAACATTGTTTTCTCTGAAAATACAATGTTTACTGAAAAAATCCTGAAGGGAATGATTATACTCTCCAGAACAAATACAATAAGCTGTACCCTTAAAGAAATTAACTAAACTCTGCACCTGAAAGAAACACTATAGTGTCAAATACAAATTTATTTCTGACCCTTTAGTTCTAAAATAACAGTTTAGCTTCCTGGTCCCCCTTAATCTCACTTAAACTGATTTTGCT